GATAAATTCCTACAAGTGGGATTGCTCAATTGAAAGGTAGAGTAGTGATTTAAAGTTTCCTTTTAAAATGTATTAAAGTAAAAAAAAATGATATAGTTCAAATAAAATGATTAAGTAAATAACAAATAGTATAGGCAATATACAGACATAGCAAAAATTGTGAAGGCAAGCAAATGACTGACATTTGAGCAAAACTGGGCTAGATTATTGCAGCAATCCCTTCCAACTCCAAAACAGAAACCTGGTTGGGGTGGGGGCTTGTGATATAGTAACTGAGGTTGAGACAGCCCCCCTGGGAATTCATCATCAGAGCCTGAGGCCTGGCCTCAGTGACCATCAGTGGAAATCTGTGTCCACGTGAGCCCACTGGTCTGCTTTCCCCAGTGGTGGCAGTATGTGCACGCGCCCTGGGAGGGGAGTGAGGCCACACTGAAGCAGGCCTGGTATCAGCAGGGAGATGTGGGAGTGGGGGCCCAGAAGGCTATGCAGAACCATGCCTTAGGTTCTGCTATGGCAGAAAGAGGGCTTCATTTTGACCCTGAATCACCAGGAAAGGTCACATCCTCTTCAGCATTCTCTTTCAAAGATAGCTGTTTAGCTAATCCATTTTAGAATGGTGAGAATCTGGGGAGACCCTCTCCCCAAAAACCTATTACCCTCTCCTCTCATGCCCACATAGCATTTGCATACAGTTTCAGGGAGTTGGCAGACTCTAGGTAAGAATCACTACTTTTAAGAGTTGTTTGGATAAAATCATTAAAAAGCAGGGGGGAAAACCTGTTTTTGCATTGGAAGAACTGTTCTACATTCATCTAGAAAATTAATCTAAGTGGAGCAGCTCATTCCACAACTATGCTGGTTGGATGATGAGTATGTCGGGGGAGATGGGGGTGCAGCTGCAAGATCCATGGTGACACAGCTGAAGTTCGGGAACCTCATTCTGCATGGAGAGGCCCTTGTGGGCCTGGTCATGCACCTCCCTCCTGAGAGAGGTGGCAAGGGGTAGCAGTCCTGGCTTTCATATAGCTACTTTTAACTATATTAAGAGCCACTGCACTTCTGGGTTTCTCTTTCCTCATATACAGTATCCAGGACCAAACCGTGGTTTTTAGGTAGTTTTATGTGAAGCTCCAGAATTCCAGAAAGGAGCTTTAGGGGCCTCTGTGGAGTGCATGAGGGAACCGTGGTTGGAGACGTTTGGGTACCCACCCACCCTTTACCTGGAGCAGCTTTGCTCTCATCTGCTTACTGTGGTGGTGTGCCGTGGGAGATTGTCATTCAAAATTAATATTCAACTGCTTAACAAAGTTTGACGAGCACTAGACTAGATTATCTTTATTTTAACCTCTCCTCTGCTCCTGGTAGTGTCCAGGGATACCAAAAAGCCAAAAGCACTAGGGCTTGGCCTCATAACCTTGGGGAGTCCTTGAAGCTGAATTCCTGCCGTGTTAGTCAGGCAGGGAGGAAGGGGAGCTTGCAGCAGTGCAGGAGGTAGGTCGAAGGTCACAGGGCAAAAGCCAGAGGCTGACACCATAGTCTCACTTGGTAGTCTTCAGATGTCTTTGATGACACACCCCATCAGTAAACACAAATAGATACATGATTTAAGCATGCATCTCCCAAATATATATACATTTGTTATTATTTATACGTATTTATTTTACTGTGCTAATGTTATGTACATCATAAACAAAATAGATTTTTAAAAGATGAGAATAATTAAAAATGAAAGAAGCCCCGCCCAGTGAATCATCTTGCATACCCACCGAGGTGTCAGCACAGCGTTGTGGAGAGGACTGGGGTAGTGGGGGGCACCTGAAGGAGGTTGCTGGAGGCGAGGATGGAAGGACGGGAAGGAAGGGTGGTTCTTAGACGGCTGTCTGCACCACCTCCTGCTCTTTGCCGTGTCCATGTGCTACGAGGACGACTGTTTACTCAGCAGTTCTCTGTAAATTGACTCACTTGTTTTTTTCCTAAATTTAGCCTCATCCTAAGCAGTAATGTCCACAAAAGGACAGGTTTTTTGTGCAGTTAGAATTTTCTTCTAATGCACATTAAAATAAATACAAAACTATGCAAACAAAACATTTGTCCACCTACCACTTAAAAATCATGTGTCAGTCCCCACCTGTGTGATGGGGGACAGCCCTGTTGGAGACTCTGGTCTGTGGCCTCTGAATCCAGACCACAGTGGGAGGGAAGGGTCTGGTGAGAGCGAGCCCCCGAGGTCCGGGCCCATGTGGACATGTTGCGGGGTACACTCCTCCATGCCAGAGGACAGTTGCAAGCAGTCATGCCTAACAGTCCCAGAAGGGCGGTGAGGGTGCGACACCTCCAGGTGAGAGCACTGTATACGCCCTGATCCCAGATGGGTTGGGCTGTGGATCACCGTGCTGCACGTTGCAGCTGCCATGCATCATTGCTGGCACTATCTGCTGCCCAAACCTCCTGCAGTGGGCTAGACCAGGCATCCATCCGTCCATTCCAGAGATATTTATTGAGCATGTCCCATGTGCCAGGCTCTGGCCCAGACACTGGTGTTCCAGTGGAGAACAAGACAGAGAAGGCAGCTGCTCTTTTGAAGGCCACACTCTAGTAGGGGAAGGCAGGCAGGACACAAACAAACCAATAAGTAGAAAATGTAAGATCCAGGTAGTTACAAATGCTGTAAAGTAAAATCAAGATCGGGGGGAGGGGACAGATCTATACAGAAGAATTCCAAACGGTTTATGTAGCTGCTCCCTCCTCAAGGAGATAGAACTTAACTCCCCACTCCTTAAGTGTGGGCTGCACTTAATGACTTGCTTCCAAAGATTATGGAATGAAAGGAGGAAAAGTCACTTTCCGATGGAGAAACCTGACCAACATCTGCTTGGCCGAGTGATGCAGGTTAACATCCGCGGTTGTAAGTCATGTAGATAGCCTGTCCCCTTGATGTGATGTGATGAGAAGGGCACTTCCCCTCTGTGCTCTTCCTCCCAGAACCCTATAACCTCAATCTAATTATCAGGAAAACAGCAGACAAACCCAGACTGAGGGACATTCTACAAAATACCTGACCCGTTCTCCTCAAACTGTGAGGTCATCAGAAGCCAGGAAAGTCTGAGAAACTGTCACAGCCCAGAGGAGCCTAGGGAGACATGGTGACTAGATGAGACATGGTATCCTAGATGGGATCCCAGAACAGAACCAGGATATTAGGGGAACACTAAGGAAATCTGAATGAGCTATGGAGTTCAGTTAATAAAACAGGTGGAGAGAGTATCTGGGAAGACATCTCTAAGGAGGTGACGTTTGAGCTGAGCCTTGAATGATGTGATTGAGTCATGCCTGGGTAGGGAAGACCTGGACTGAGAGCGCTCTAGGCAGAAGGAACAAATGTATGAAGATCCTGGGACAGAAACAGGCTTTGGGCCGATCAAAGAAGAGTGAGAAGGAAGCTGAGCACAGCTGGAGCGGCGTGGGGCGGAGAGCGCCAGGGGTGAGGCCAGCGGTGGAGGGAGGCCAGGCCGTGGAGGGCCTCGACACCATGGAAGGCGTTGGATTTCATCCTGAGTGTGGTGGGAAGGCTGGGGAGTTTTGAACAGAAGGATGATGTGAGCTAATTCCCACTTAAAATCACTTTAGTCTGTGTGGAGGCCAAACTACGGGGAGCGAGAAAGGAAGCAGAGGCCAACAGGGAGGCCCCTGCACGAGTCCTGGGGAGCATGACGGCAGAGGCCGTCAGAGCCCCAGGTATGCGTCTGTCCTTCCGGAAGCAGAAATACATGTTCACATTTCATCATCGTTTTTTCCTTCATTATGTCTCCTGAAGATGGGGGAAATTACCTGAACTGTGGATTCCAAGAACTAAGTATTTGGAGGTCCATACCCACGCATCAGAGAACTCTGTAACACCTTATAGCACAACAACCATCCATCTCTGATGTTTCTTTTATTTGTTCATACCTTGTTCTGAAAGATAAAAATATACATCATGCTTAAGTTGGTTGCTACAAGTTGCCCTTATTTAATTGGGAAAAATAAAACGAGGTCCCTAACCTCTCTCTGCTTTCTGGAAGTTGCAAGTGGAAAGAGAAAGCAAAAGGCTTCGGTCATGGCAAAGCCTTTTCTAAAGTGTAAACAGTTTCAGAATATTTTCAGTGAATTTGGTTGTTTTATTATCTACGTATTCTACACTTCCTCAACACCTTTGGGAAGGAAGTGTGGTATCAGTAAAATAAAATAAATATCTTTTTAAAAAAATCTTGAGGGGCTGGCCTGGTGGCGCAAGCAGTTAAGTGCACGCACTCACGCTTCACTGCGGCGGCCCAGGGTTCGCCAGTTCGGATCCTGGGTGCGCACCGACGCACTGCTTGTCAAGCCATGCTGTGGCGGCATCCCATATAAAGTAGAGCAAGATGGGCATGGATGTTAGCTCAGGGCCAATCTTCCTCAGCAAACAGAGGAGGATTGGCATCAGGTGTTAGCTCAGGTCTGATCTTCCTCACGAAAAAAAAAAAATCTTGAAATAAAATAAATGACTGCAATTTGTGCCTTCTTGTCAAAATCAGGGCCATTGGGCCGACCCAGTGGCATAGTAGTTAAGTTCGCATGCTTCAGCGAACTTCTGCTTCAGCGGCCTGGGGTTCGCAGGTTTGGATCACAGGCGCAGACCTACGCACCGCTCGTCAAGCCATGCTGTGGCGGCGTCCCACCTATAAAGTGGAGGAAGATTGGCATGGATATTAGCCCAGGGACAGTCTTCCTCACCAAAAAAAAAAAAAATCAGGGCCGCGTTTCCTGGCATTGCTCAGATGAGAGGAAAGAGAGGTTCTGGCCTCCGTCCTATCTCTCCCTCAGCGTGTTCCCAGGACAGTGTGCTCCTGTCACCACTGTTGAACGTTTGCTTGATGTGTTAGGGGCAGTTTACTCAGGCTTTGTCTTGAACATGAGTATGTCTGTAAATCCAGGTCTGTGAAGCTGTCTGGGCTCATCCCAGTCTTTGTATTTGTTTCCAGAGATCGAGATGGTGATCATGGAGCGCAGCAAGCTCCCAGAGTTGGCAGCCAGCACTTCTGTGCAGGAGCAGAACACCACGGACGAGGAGAAGAGCGCCGCCGCCACCGGCTTGGAGAGCGTGCAGTGGAACAGGTAGCCGCCTGGGGGGCCCTGCCTACTGCGCTGGTGCTGGGGCTGTGGGTGGGGCTGCCCACCAGCCAGTCCATCAGTCTGGGGATTGCTGCTCAGTCTCTGAGATGAAGAGATGGGCTCAGCCAGCAGGGTGGGTACCTTGGCTGAGGTGCCACTAAGGATAACCCAGGGCCTTTTCCCGCCACCCTGATGGCTTCTGCCTCTCAGCCAAGCTGTCCTGCCTTTCCCTGCTTCTCCAGCCCATGGCCACCAGGGACATGGCTCTTCTTGAGAGGCCAGGGGTACAGAGCTGGCACTCAACACTGTAGTTCTCACCCCTTGGAAAGAGAATGACTGAGACATGGTGCCACCACCCTCAAGCACTTTGGTGCTAGGTCCCATCCTAAAGGGTGTGGGCTGCCTTGTGGCCTTGTACTAACCACTCCTGGCAATGCTCTGCCGCTCCCAGGAAGGATCCCCTTGGGAGCAGCGTTTGGCTCTCCCTGTCTCATTCATTTGCTGCCACGAACACCACTGTCCATAGGGCCTGCCCTCGTGACTCAGCCAGCATGATTCAAAGCTGCTGTCCACTTTTGACTTTTTGCCCGATGGTTTATTTCAGTGATGGGCTGCCGAAGCTACATCCTCTTAAACCTTGGAAATGCCACATTTCCTGGAACCTTGCTGTAGCACCACCCCTTCCAGAATCCGATTGGGTGGTGGAAGGCTGCTCCCAAAGTGTGCAGTGAACTGTTAGGAGGGCTTCTTCATTTCAGCATTATTTCCTTATCAAGTGGCCCCCTGCACAGCTCCCTGTGATAACTTCCTAATCCTACCTTTGTGTTAATAAGTGCACAACAACGTGGTTTCTCTGTCAGCCTGCAAGGCATTCGCTTCCTGAACCCTCAGGGTGGAGGTGGCTGAAATACACGCACACTCCATCCCATTTATTAATCCAACTTAAAGTGAAAAGTTGAAGCATGCTAATTTTTTCCTCCACATCTTGTTTATATCTTTGCTTGGCAAATGTTTCAATTATCTAACAGACAGGATTAATTTTTATCAGATGTACAAGGGAGCCACTATTAGTTGTGGTTGAATAACAAACATGGGAGTGTGGTGTTGGCTATAAGTTGTAACTTACGAAGACCTTTTTGATTGTGCTTGACAGCAAAAAAAGTAACTCTTGAAGCTCTGAAAATGAAGGAAATTGTTCTAAACACAGACAGGGAGGGTAAAACAACCTTTAGGTGCTGGCACGGCGTTAGTTAGAATATGAATAATTGGGAAAACTACGAAAAAACTCATCAAAATGATGAGCTGTGGGGGGTGCTTAAGCACATGGAGATGCATCTGCTTCATGGAATATTATCTGCTGCTTTTGAGTGAAGACTGTCATGATGTATTCAGTTTTTTAGGATCTGATAAATGGAGACAGAGCACATATTTTGCATAGTATGGTAATGCTGTAGCTTTGCTACAGGAAAAAAAATACCCATGTATTTTCAAATAAAAAGGTGAGCAGATCAGAATGTTATGTTTGAATGTTGGGGTTGACGCTTCTTTTTTTTTCCCTGAGTTTTAGTGAAGAGAGGGGTTCTCTTAGATTTGATTGAATTGTTTCTTAATTTTTGGTGACTAACTGGTATCTTCTACCCTGTGGCTTATAATGGAAGCTGATCCTGGTGCCTTGAGTTGGGCCACATGCAGGCTTGTGGCCCTGGGAACTGTGGGCCGGAAATCTGCTGTGCTCTGAGGCCGAATGCCAAGGAGAGTCTGGCCCAGGAAGAGAATTGCCTTCTCCTTTGCAAAGATATTGAGTTGTTGGTTGTCAGAAACACCACCACAAACTTCTGTCCTCCCAGTTCTGGTACTGAGCAGGGAGGAGGGCGCTGATGGTAAGGGAAGGGAGCAGTTTGTTCTCCTTGACATGAATTGAATGGGGTCTTGACATTGGTCCACTTGTCCAAAGAAACAGCATAGCACAAAACAGAACTGTTCTTATATTCTCTCTACTATGGGCTGTATCTGTGTTCATGGTTAAATGTGGGCCTAAGAGACTAAAATTCAAAACATTCATTCTTTTCTTAAAAAAAAACTTAAAAAAATTATAAAAGTACTAGACATTCAGAAAATGTAAAAAACCTTGAAAAGTATAAAGAAGGAAAAAAAAAGGTCTCTATGATGCCAGCATTCAGAGGCAGCTGTTACTAACATTTTGGTTATTTCCTGCCAGTCATCTTTCGATGCCAATTTAGTGGGAATTCTGCCGCCCCCCCATAATTTATACTGTACCATGTCTATTATTTCTTCTTCTTTATTTCTAATATCAAATCCTGAAGATCTTTTTCACCTTATTGTACGCTTAGTAAACAGAATGCTAATGGCTTCATAATACTTCATCTCATAAAAGATGGTACATCCACCCGGCCCTCTGCTACTGGGGGAGGTTTGTTATTTGTATTATTCCCACATGAAAATATAATCCAAATTCCAAGCAGCTGGTTTACAAGAAAACGTTTTCTACTTTATCTTGCTCTTAAGTTTGGACATGTTATCCCTGGGGGCTTACAAAAACCCAATCCTCACATGGCAAAACTATTCACACACCTGAAAGGTGATGTCCGATCTGGTCCCGAGAGCATATGGGGCTCAGGAGAAACAGAGCCCAAATGTAAACGTCCCCTTTAAGTTTCTTCCTTTAATTTCTGTGTGTCACATGTTTATTTGACATGTTATGACAACTACGTTTTCACTGCTTTCTCTTTTGCATTTTTCAATTTAATATTTTGAATTGATGGTACATTTATGGACTTCAAAATTCAAAAAATTATAAAAGCTTATGCAGTCAATAGTCTCCCTGTTTCTCTGCTGCACCATTTCAGTCCCCCTAGACAACTGATGTTGACAGTAGCTGTGTGTCCTTCCAGGGGTTAGGTGTGCTCTTGATCACTCGTCGAGGTGCTCTGCTCTCTTGGCTTCAGCCTGGCATCCAGAGGGGCTGCTGCAGATGGTCAAGAGATCCGAGTCTTCTGCCTCCGGGCCAGATCTGTGCATATTCTGTTATCCTTGTGTGCAAGAGTCTTTCCAGTCCAGGCTCCTCACCTGGAAGGGCAGCGTTTGGGGTGTGCGGTTTGTGATATTTGCAGCCGCTCTGTAGGTCTCACCCACCAAGTATCAGAGGTGGGAGACCTCATATCGATTCTTGCCAGTGAGGGCAAGTCGGTCCAAGACTTTCCTGGGCCAGGACCTGCCAAAGTGAGATCCTGGAGAAGTGCCCTTGGAATACTCAAAATAGAAATCAGCAGCTCCCACGTGCTACACTTTCCACTATGTGCCTGGCCCTCTGTTAAATGCCCTTCACTTCTTTCACTTGAGTCCTCATAATAACCCTGTTAAGGGTTTAATCCTCATCTGACAGGTGAGGAGATGGAGAGGTTTTAGGTAACTTACCAAGGGTTTGCTCCTAAGAAGAGGCAGAATCAGAATTTGAACCCAGGCAGTTGGCTCTAGGCCCATACTCCGAAGTTGTTTGGACTTGGTGGTGCCCTGTCTAGAAATGTTAGTCTGTCACGCTGCCCTGTTTTCATTCTCCTGTCACTCTTTGAAGTGACGATGTGGTCTGTCTGGTCTCTGTCTCTGCCCATTGGCATGGGAGTGCCACAAGAGCAGGGACTTTGTGTCATTTATCCCCAATGTCTGGGACGGCTCGTGAACGATTGTTGAATGATTAAGTGGTCTTCAAGGTAGCAGCTTCCCACGGGCAGAGCCTGTCTCACAGTTGTCTTTGTGTCCTCAATGCCTGGTGCTGGACTAGGCACACGGTGCACTTGCTACATGCTGGTGGCAGAGCTGTGAGAGCAGAGGCCACTGGAACCCCAAATGCAGGTGGGAAAAGAGAGGTGTTCACCCTTGTGCACCTTGAGGCTCATGCATGCCCCTCCTCTTTTCCAGACCCTTCCTGGATATGGTATACCACGCCCTGGACAGCCCGGATGATGATTACCACGCTCTCTTCGTGCTCTGCCTGCTCTATGCCATGTCTCATAACAAAGGTAAGCCTGCTCGCCTCGCCCGCCTTCCTGGCATCTCTCCCCCCGGCTCTGTGGAAGGAACGAGGAAAGCTGTTTTCCTTGAGGAGTTTCCTTTCTGGTTTTGGCAGACTCTCACGAAACTTCTCTTCAGCTTTGTTAGAATTTCTCAGGTGCTTTTCTACAGGCTAAAGCCACAGGAATTGGTTACTCAGGCAGTATGGGGGGAAAAAGGTTCAAGTGTTGACTAACCTAGTGTGACTGTCTTCACACTGTGGTTTCCTTCCAACCCCCTGCTTTACAACTGACTTAGCAGCCGACCTCTTTCCTAACATCAGAACTGAAATCAGTCGAATTGTAATCTTGGTTTTGCTATTTATAATAGTGATGTTCTTGCTCTGGGTTCAGAACCAAAATAGACTCTGGGTGGATTGTGTGGAAGCGTAGGTTTCCTTTCTGAAGAGAGGTGTGGTTCTCTGGCTTCCCCTGTTGAGGCTGAGTGGTCAGCATCGGACTCCTGTGAAGCTGACAGATGCGATGAGGATTCATTCACTCACTTCCTCCCTGGGAGCAGCCGCTGGTGTGTGCCCCACCTGGCTGGACATGGGCAGGGTCTGAAACCTCCACCTCAGAGTCTCTTGGAAGAAGATACCAAGAATATTCCTCTGGCCCCTGCCGAGAGCTGGGCTTGGCCTAGATGAGACTTTGCATCAAAGTGACATTTTAGTAGGTTTTTCATAAGCTTATTGGTGGAGGTGGGTTTTACTAAGACAGCCTATGGCTAGAGACATTTAAAAAGCACTCAACAAAGTTTTTATTTATTCTTAAATCATGAATCGTGATCGATAAGTTGACCAGTGGCAAAAGATTATATAGTGAAAAAGTCTGCCTTCCCATCTTTATCCTCCAACTCTTCTTCAAAGGCAGTTCATGCTGCCAGTTTCTTGTGTGTCTTTTTAAAGACATCCATGCAATCCCAAGTATGAGTATGTATGGTTTTATTTCTACAACTGCCCCCCCAACCATAAATGGAGGTACTCCTTGTTGTCTGTTCTATACCTTGTTTTTCTTGTGTCTTCATGTGTCAACACATCATTTCACATCCCTGTAGAATTGCCTTGTTCTTTTTAATCATATGTCTGTGCCATCGTTTATTCTGCTATCCCCTTATTGAATGACACTGAGACTATTTCCAGGCTTTTCCTACTGTAGACAGGACTGACCATGATGGCTCTTCTCACGTATAAGTCATCATGCTCACATGCGAGTCTGTGGATCCAGCCTGAGACTTCTCAAAGAAGCACAGCCAGCTCCGAATCCTGCTGACGTTTCCCTCCACAGTCTCGTTCACTCCCAGGGCTTCTGCGATCCCTTCTAGCTCCTGGCTAGGTGCCTGGCACGCAGGAGCCCTCAGTTACTGGGAGTAAACAGGATGCCACGAGACTGACTGACTCCCACCCATGGATCGCCCACGACTCCCTGGCCCCCGCCTTCTGTGCCCTCCTCATTCCGGCTCTGCAGTCTGAACTCCGGCCGGTTGGATGCTGGAGTCTCCTACCTAGGAGTTTCAGCAACACCTTGAAACAGTCTGTCTACACTACACTCACCCCCATAAATATACCCTGACCTCGTCACACTTCCTGCCATTTCTGGTTCAGTTGAAATTGCCAACCAAGGTTGAAACTGCCATGGCCTTTAGCCCCTTTCTTCCTCTGATCCCAGCATTTAGTCATCAAGTTTGTCAGTTCTCCCTCTTCAGCCTATCTGATCTGCAGAATTTACCTGAGTCCAACTCAGTTCCTGGCTCTCAGCTGGGTGCTGGGGGCAAGAACTGAAGGCATGAGAGCAAGAGAGATCTGGGCACATGTGTGTCATCACAGCCTCCCGAAGGGGCCAGACATTCAGCCATTTTATAACCCATCCTCCATAGCACTACCAGCTCATCCTCTGTCAGACTATGTGGACCATATCCTCCCCTGTTCAGAAACCTCTGGTGCCGCCTTCTTTCTCTTAAACTCCACCCTCCTGTGCCTGTCATTCTGAGTGTCCAGATTGCACCCGCCATTCCAGCTTGATCTGATTCCCCTGACCTCCCTTCACAGACGCTGGGCTCTGGCCCAGGGGCTCAGATTCTTCTGTAGTGATAGAACTCTTTCATAGAGATAAACTTGTGGTTGCTGTCGTGGTACTGAACTCTTTAAAGTTCTTTTGGTTGCAAGCAACAGAAACCACCTCTCATTAACTTAACTAAAAGGGAAAGTCTAGAGGAAGGCCCCTGGGGCAGCTCGCAGGATCCAGGAAGTTGCTGAAAGCCAAGGGCAGGGCAGAAACCGACCAGCTCTGGGGACTTCCCTCAAGGTAGATTGTGATTTGGCCCCAGCAGATCCCAGGCTGGGAGTCTGTCTCCATTTAAGTTTCAAATTCTTGGGCAAGAGATCTGATTGCTTCAGTTGGTGGTGTGTCTAACTCTGGAACAGTCGGTTATGGCTGGGAGGTCAGGGTCACATAGCAGGGACTTGGCCCCAGGGCTCTCAGCCCTGGGTCTAGGACTGTTCCCGAAGAAAGGAGCTTCTTTGGAAACCTAGCAGCCACCCCAGTTGGTGCCAACATGCCTACCTCTTCCTGGCTGGTCTGCCATTCATTTATGTTTTTTCCTGCCCTTTTCTCTACCCCACCGTCACCACCCATTGAAATTCAGCTTGCCTGTCAAGGGTCCACTCAGAAGTCATCTTCTCCAGGAAGTTTTCTTTGATCTCTTCAGGTCACAGTCCCTCTGGGTTAGTACCATCTCATGTGGAAGGCACACTTTATACATTGCTAGATTTGATTTGCTACAATTTTGTTAAGGGTTTTTGCATCTGTGTTCGTGAGTGATGTTAATCTGTGGTCTTCTCTGTAATTCTCTTGTTTTATTAGCTGTCAGAGTTATGCTCATCTTATGGATTGAATTGGGAAGTGTTCCCTCCTCCTGAATTTTCTGGAGAGGTTTTTGTAGAACTGGTGTTATTTCTTCCTCAACTGTTTGGTAGAATTCACCAGTGAAGCCATCTGGGCCTAAGAGTTTTCTTTGAGGGAAGGTTTTTAACCACTCAGTTTTTTCAGTAGATATAGGGCTATTGAAGCTTGTCTGTTTTTTCTTGAGTGAGCTTTGGTAGCTTGTGTTTTTCAAAGAATTTGTCATTTCATCTAAACTGTTGAATTTATTGGCATAAACTTGTTTGTTATATTCCTCTATCATCCCTTTTAATGTCTGTAGGATCTGTAGTGATGTTCCTTTCTAATTTGTGTGATAGTTCAGGTCTTCATTTTTTTTTTTTCCTGAACAGTTTAGCTGGAGATTTATCAATTTTATATTAATCTTATTGATACTCTCAAAGAACTTTCTTTTGGTTTCATTGATTTTTCTGTATTTTTTTTGTTTTATTTTTCATTAATTTCTGTTCTGATCTTTATTTCTGCAGCTACTTACTTCAGATTTAATTTACTCTTCTTTTTGTAGTTTCTTAAGATAGTTCAGATCATTGATTTTTTAAGCTAATCAATTTATTTTATTTTACTTTTTAAGTTAACATACAGTAAAATTAACTCTGTGTATAGATCTATGAGTTTTAGCACATGTATGGATTTGTGTGAACACCACTGTAATCAGGATACATTACAGTTCCATCAACCAAAACATTCCCGCACGCTATTCTTTTCAGTCATACCTTCCCCATACCAGTCATTGATTTTTAAACTTTTCTTCTTTTATATAATAAGAATTTAATGTTGTAAATTTTCCTCTAAGCACTGCTTTGGCTACATGCAATAAATTTTGATATGCGTGCTTTTATTTTTATTTAGTTTAAAATATTTTATAGGGCCGGCTCCGTGGCTTAGCGGTTAAGTGCGTGCACTCTGATGCTGGCGGCCCGGGTTCGGATCCCGGGCACGCCCCGAGGCACCACTTCTCCGTCCAACGCGAGGCCGAGTCCCACGTACAGCAACTAGAAGGATGTGAACCTATGACATACAACTATCTACTGGGGCTTTGGGGGGAAAAAATGAATAAATAAAATCTAAAAAAAAAAAAAATAAAATATTTTATAATTTCCCTTCTGATTTCTTCTTGTCTATTTTATCATCTGTATAATTTCGAGATATGTTTCTGTCATTGATTTTTCTTCTGGTTGGTTTTGGGTCATATTTTCCTTTATTTATTTTTTTGCTTTCCTGGTGATTTTTGATTGGTTGATGGTTACTATGAATTTTACATTGTTGGATGCTGAACTTCTTTTTTTGTTTCAATATTTTTGGGCTTTGTCCTGGAACATGGTTAAGTGACTTGAAATCTGTTTGGTCCTTTCCAAGGCTTGCTTTTTAGCGTTGTGGGTGCTGGTCCAGAACAGCCTTTAGTCTCAGGCTCACTTGGCCCCACTGCTGAGGCAGTCCCCTTCTGAGGACTCGACCTGATGAGCCGTGGGTAGGCCGTCTTTCTCCGCCGGCCCCTGGGAATGTGAACTCTTCTCTGCGCTGTGTGAGCTCCGCGGCTTGTTCCACCTGTTTCATCCTGTAGGTCTTTCCATTTCCTCACGTGCCTGCACAGAGCAGAACTCAGCTGAAGCCTCAAAAGGAACCCTCTGCAGGTCTCTGCAGCTCTCTGTGCAACTCCCTTCCCTCCAGGGCTCTCTCCTATCACTTCTGGCCACTGGCCTTCTCTGAAGTCCAAACTCGGCCTTCTCATCTCAGGGACACCGTGGGCTTGGTGTGGGTTTCCTCTCTCTGTGCTGAGGCCTGGAAACTCTTTGTAGACAGTGAGCTGGAGCAGCCACTGGGCCCTCTGCCTTTGCTTCCTCTCTGTCAGGGCCTGTCTCCTATGCTGCCTGTCCAGTGTCTCATAGCCACTCTTTTATATATTTGGCCTGGTTTTCTAGTTGCTTGAATCAGGAAGGTAAATCCAATCCATCTTGGCTGGAAGCCGTAGCGCTTTAAAAAAACAAAGTTTTATTGATATACAATAAACTGGACATATTTAAAGTGTACAA